CTCTCTCTCTCTCTCTCTCTCTCTCTCTCTCTCTCGTCCCATGTTCTCAACACTCGGTGTAACTCTCAATAAATGTGTTCACCGAATACAGGGCTAAAACAAATTGACTAATATATCGACAAATGTTTTGCTTCACTAATGAAAACATTAGACATTTTTTGACAACTAATTATTCCGTGAGAGAGAGAGAGAGAGAGAGAGAGCAGACAATCGACTCACTCCCGAATCACTACACAAATTGACAAATCGATTGATTCAATAATAAGTAAGTGAAACAAAACAGAGACAATAGTGAGTGAATAAATGAAAAACTAAATTAAACACTAAATTAAAGGCAAGTTCTCACAAAAAATATAAAACACAGTTTAATGGAAAAAGTGTATAAAAATTAATCGATAGAAAAACTAAATATCGTTACTTTGATAACACGTTTCATAACATTTTCGATGACAAGAAAAAATTCTGTAATTATCTTTAAAAATGTTTTCTAAGGGAAAAGTAAGAGAATTAAAGGGAGGGAGAGATTGAGTGAGTGAGTGAGGAGGGAGGGAGAGAGAGAGAGAGGATGGGGAGGAAAACAGTAGAGTAATTGACAGCTTAGTTATGTATTGAGAGAAAAGGCGAGTTAGCTCCCATTTTCTCATTTCATCTCTCTCTCTCTCTCTCTCTCTCTCTCTCTCAAGAGAGAGAGAGAGAGAGAGAGAGAGAGAGAGAGAGAGATTAAGTTAAGACACAGGAATAATATTCACAGCAAAAACATTTATTATAACAAAAAATATGTGACAAAAAATTAACAGAAATATTTTGCAACTCAAACATAAAACTAAATACCACTCAAACAGTATTATAATCCGTGAATTAATTACTGGCAGTAATAATAATAATAATAAATAATCGCAATTATAATAATAAAGAGCAAAAAATCCTAAACACAGATTATTGGCCATCGATTGTAACTCAAAGACCGGTAATGTTTCGCAATATATATTACAGAATATGTGTATAACTATTATTCAAACAGAAAAATAAAGAAAAAGTTGGAGATTTTGGCACAAAAAGCACACCAAAAGCCATTAGGAAATGTGACAAAAACCTAAGGCTATAATAAATTGATTGATTAAATGAAATAATATTCTGTGATATCTATGCACAGTATTTTGCAAACGGCTTTTCCGAGTGTATCCTAAGTTAACACTAAAATCAAAGTCTTAAAAACAAGACAAAAAACTTTTTTGACACTAGATTTTCATAAAATATTGATTTTAAAAAACAGAGAGAAAACGGGAAATCAAAACTACATTTCCTCGCAATCATTCAAAATATAAAATATGAGACAAATTAAAAATGCATTTATTTAGCAAAAAATAAAACATAAAAACATTTTCAATTCCTAATAAACTTAAAATTGAATAAAATATTAGGCAATTGAATGGCAAATAAGGCTTTTAAACAAATCTATATTAAATTATACGCGAATACAAATGTCATTGAATTAAACATTTATTAAAATGCCATTTCTCTTATTTAAAGCCTACAAAAACTAATGTAAAAATGAAAACTGATGCTAAAAATACGACCAGTTTTTCAACCAAAATACTTTGCGCTTAAACTGTCCATTAAAACCCACATCAAATCTAAACCCCCTTTTCGATTGGGAATTAAATTCATTAACAAAACTCAACGATTTGTGTTCAATAAATAAAACTCAAACTAATAATTGAATTAAATTATGTATAAACCAAACGAATGGCTGGAGAATAGATGTCGGGTATAAAACACGCCACATATCCGACGGTTAAAACTTTAAAATAAAATTAAACTAAACATTACATTAGAGATGAATTCAATGGGGAATACAGTATGAGCTAAATATTCAACATTTTATGCAACAAAAAAATCGTTAAAATATAATTTAAAAGTTAAATAATCGCTAATAAGATCTCTCACAAAGTGGTAGAGAGAAAGGGAGAGCAATGTTTTGACACTAATTATAGCCGAGTGTTTAGACTAACAAAGATCTGTATATAAAATGTTAAATAAAAGTCAAAATATAAAAAACTTTTGGTCAGAAGAGCGCTTCAGAAAAATGGCAAAACCATTGCAACGACTCAGAGATATATAATAATGAATGTCAAAGATATGACATTTTTATTGGAGAGAGAGAGAGAGATGAGAGAGACTGAGACACAAACTAAAGACAAAGTCACATAACAAACAAATCGTACGGAATTGTAAGCAAAAAGGCTAACAAACAAACAAATAGCTCGTCGAGAGAGAGAGAGAGAGAGAGAGAGATGAGGTATTGGCTGTCATCGCAACGTTGTGTTCACAATACAGAAGAAGATAAATAGACAAAATATAAGACAAACTTTCATCTCTTTTCTCTCACTCTTCTATTTATTCACTATCTATTCAATCGACTGAATGACTGCTCATTGAATATAATGTGAAAGAAAAATCAGTTGTGATTTCACACCAGAAATCTATATAAGTTATACAAACAGTATATTAAGAATTCTTATCACATGAAAGATAGACGAGAGAGAGAGAGAGAGAGAGAGAGAGGCAATCGAAGAGGACTCTGCTATCAAATTGTTATCAAATAAATGATTTGTCGCTTAAAATAAATACACTTTATTTTAATCGCATTTCAAAAGTCAAAGTCAAAGAAAAAAAATCAAAATTTAGTGTCAATTGGTTTCAAATGTCATAATCTGTGAGCGTTTAGCAACACATTAAAACACTGTTAATAAAAACAACACTCAATAGTGTATACAAAAAAATAGGGACAAATAGTGGACACTTATATAATGTACAATTCGTATCAAAACTTCAATTGATTTACAATTAACGTGTCATTGAATTGGCAAACAAAACGCGCCGGTAATGTGTGTACATAAGAATCGCTGGTATTATATCATACAAAACACACACACAAACCGGGATTAACAATGAATTAATGAATGAATTAAAGCCAAAATCAATGCAAGAAATCAATTCCCACTCAAATTCTATGTCAAAAACACTTTATTTGACCAAAAAATCTAATCACAAGTAAAAACGGAATATAAAAAAACATATTATAAACACCGGAAAAGTGTCTGAAAAATAAAATCCTTATCAATAAAAAGCATTGAATGTCTGAAATCATCAAAAACTTGATAAACAAAGAGAAAAGTTTAAAATGAACAAAAATAACAAAACACTTGCCGTATTGATAGACTGCTGGGCGTAGCCGGCGTTGGCTGCGGCCGCGTACGGGTTGATGGCTGCGGCTGCGGCCGCGGCGGCGAAGGCCGGATTGTAGCGGAGGTACGGGTTTACGTTCATACAGGCGGCCGACGCCTGGAGCCGGGCGTTGATGTACGGCTGTATCATCGCTGCGGCCGCCGCCTGGGCCTGAATTGAGGCCGAATTGTTGGCCACAGATTTGTTGGATTTGCTCGACACACGATTGTTGGCCATCGGCTTACCATTACTGGCCAGTCCTTTGCCGTTATAGTTGACACTTTTGCCGGTCTGTGGGGGGAAAAGCATAATTATATTAATCCATTAATACATCCAAAAATGTTGAGACAATACAATCGAAACACTTATTATGTAATTAACAATAAAACAAACATTTCTCCAATACTATATCACTAATCACTAAAGGGTTAACAGATATTTTTAAAGTGTACACTATATGTCAATCAAATGTGTGCTTATTATACATGTTTATAATTTACCAAAATATATATTAAATATCGTTTTAAATGTTTTTTAATTGAGTGTTTAGTGTATTGTATAAAAAGCCATTGAAATTATGAAAATGAAACACAAAAACCCATTTGTTTGACACCAATACTGCTATTAATAGCACTTATATTTACAAACATCATATAATTACATAACTGTTAGAGAGAGAGAGAGAGAGAGAGAGAGAACAAACAGTGTATGACTTGTTGTATGTATTGTACGGACGGATAGCAAAAGTGGTGTCAAAGAGAGAGAGAGCTTACATGTAATGATATCTAAATATAAAAATTTAAAAACTATAAAAACTATTAACACATTAATTAAACAAATATTAATATAAAACAATTGTTTAATTAATTAATTAAATACTAAAAAGCATTAACGCGTTAATCAATACTCACATTTATAACTTTCTTCTCAGACATTATTACAATTATTATAATTATTTAATCAATTAATTAATAAAATATTATTAAAAATATCTTATAAAATACAAAACAGGAGACGAGAGATAAAAACTCGTTATTATTTACTTTTCAATAAAACAAACGTAAAAAAGATTAAATTATTATTTATATTATTATTTGCAAAACAATTGTAAACATGGGTTCCCACGGGAAGTGGTTGGCCAGTGACCGGTACGGGTGTAGAGACAAGTGTGTGTCCGTGTGTTTTACCACCAGTTTATTACAATGTAATTATTAATTACAACAAAATCAATGTTCAAAATCGGTGTGCGTTCAGAGATCGGGTGTGAGTGAACTGATCGGTGGGTTAATGACAATCAAATGGGCTGTCAGTGAGTGACTGGAGATAAGGTTAATGGTGTGAAGGTATGAGTGATGGTTGGGGACGAGTCGTGTGGGGCCACTACTGCTCGGAATGGTCTGCAATGGTGTGTATATGTGGTTCAGTCGGTGCGACCACTGATTACGATCGTCGATGCGGTCGTGGATGTAGTCTTCGTCGGCCACCAGTCGCTCATAGCATCCGATGGAGAGGTTTGTGGCGATAAGTGATGTCCTGATGGTGTGGATCCGCTGTCGCTCACGTGCCACACAATTGGCCACAAACTGGTCGCTCGTCTACACTGACTGTCATTTAGGTTATCGTAATAGTAGTTAATAATAGTTAATAAATTAGTTAACACACGGAGACTGTGGCTGTCATTCAAATCGGTCGGTCGTCGAGAGGTATGAATGGCTGGAAATGACAACAAATTGTCCGCTTTTTGGCCGCAAAACACAAACCAAAACAATAGGCAAAACACACTTCAAATCAATACTAAATGACAAATGAAATCAAATTTGATTTTCTCTCTCTCTTTGACAACACTTTTGCTATCCGTCCGTACAATACATACAACAAGTCATACACTGTTTTGTGAACGTATTTCTCGCTTATTATAACATTAACACAACTTTTATGTCAATATATTATAACAATTATTTAATTCAATTAATAATTAGTTAACTAAATATAATATATAAATATAGAGAGAGTTATCGTCTAAACGCAAACACATATACAGTGTTTTGTTTTATACCTCTCCGTAAACCTTACAGTATATATACATAGAAACTCATAGATCAGTCATATATATCTCTATACTGTATATATCTATATATCTATTATTTTGAGGGTTTTTGATATGATTTTTTGTTTCTTTGCGTTTACTATGCATTCAAACAACTGATTATCGATTGCGAGCGACGACTATAACAGCAAATAAAGCCATCGATTGTATCGATTGTCACAACGATTGCCAAACGATTGCCTTATCTATTGTCAGTATCGGTCCAAACAAACCATAGGCCTGAACAGCCACTCATCGCGGGGTCGACCACAAACTACGTCCGCACAAACTATGTTCGCTATGTTTTTATTGTCAACGAGTTTGACATTTGTATTGTGTTGTGTATATGTATGTACTGTTCGCAAAGTACGTGACGCGTTGCGTGTGTGTGCGCGCGCCGTTCCGTTGTGTCAGCGCCCCCTCCCTCTGTCATACGTCAAGCGCGACCACCTGTGCTCCCCCTCCCTCTCTATGCCTAGTGTTATATTGGTGTACAAAGGGTTTGCATTGTTTACGCCCACCTATTTTAGTACATTATATGTGAGTGTTATTTAACAAATTTGTTGTGTGACAGCGCTCTCCGCGCGGCCTCTACTGTGCGACAGTGTGTTTGTCGCCCATTCATAGATGACGTGACGGCTATTATAATTGCTGAACGTTATTAAACGTAAACATTTGTATCATTTCACTAACCACTAGCCATAGCCATTGATATGTTAAAATAATTGAAATAATATTTTTTCAAACTTAAAAATTACTAATTAGTGGTCAATACATGTATTTGTATGTGACATATGAGTGAAATGCAATTTCACACTTCACTGACTCTCTAGCGTTGGCTGTGCTTATCGTTAATCCCATCAAATATTTTACTATATTTTTTTACTACACATACATGTATGTGTTGTGCTTTAGTACACAAAAACTGTTACCACATTCTCTCTTGTTTTTTATTCCCTTGTTTTATATAGTTTTCACTATCCCTCCCACCCCCTTATTGTTACGTCTGTCAAGGTTGTCCCTTTGCCTGTTATCCTTTCTAGGATTTACTGATTTATTTGTGTTAATTATACAATTTATGCGTTAATCACAATTAATATCGCAATTAGTTTTATAACACAACAAACTATTCAACACAATGTCTGAGCGAAAAGTTTTAAACGTAAGTAAACCCCAAAATATTTCATAATAAATACACAAACAATCATGTGTTGTTACTAGAGAGAGAGAGAGAGAGAGAGAGAGAGAGAGAGAGAGAGAGAACAGAGGGATGTGATCGGAAGACAGAGATTTATACACAAAATACAACATAAAACACATACAAAAAGATACTTTATTTCCATTTCGCCACTAATGAGAATCACAATGAGTTTCACTACAGAATTACTATTAGTAATTCATACATGTATTCAAACATGTATTTCCATAAAAATCATTAAATAAATTCTCCAACAAAATGACTAAATTGTGTAAAACATTATGTATTTCTTTATTGTGTTCACTGTTTCCTAAGTCTCTAATAACGACAAAATCTGTCCAATTATAGACCAAAAATTCAAAATGAAATAAAAATAATAAAAAACAGTAAAATCCATCCCAACTAATGAACGACTTGTTTAAGACTCAAACTTAGACTCAAAACGAGGAGAGAAGAGAGGCTTAAGAGGAAGAGCTGATGGAAAATGAAAAGACATTTCCCAATAATATGAGATGTCAGACACCATTTCAACGAAAAAATAATATAAAATTTTTACAATATATCGAAACAAACGACTTATCAGGGAATCAAAGCTCATATACACAGCAATCGGAACAAAAAATTAAATGACATCTCATATGAGATACGAGTGATGAGTGAGAGAAAAGAGATGAAAGTTTGTCTTATATTTTGTCTATTTATCTTCTTCTGTATTGTGAAC